GATATCTAGCTTTTTATTATGTCTTCGTAGATACTTAGTATGACACCATAATCATTTCTACTTATAATCTCTTACAAAAACATGGCCAGTTTTGTGTTACAAAAATTGCCCTCAATTAGCATTTAATTCTCAACTTATAATAGATTTGATATCAAGCTTTTCATTGTGTCTTTATAAATACTTAGCATGACTTCTTGATTTTCTCTACTCATAATCTTCAATTAAAAAATGACTATTTTTATTATACAAAAATAGCCCTTAATTAGCACTTAATTCACAGCATTTCCATGAATGAATTTGTACTTACTAGCTTTTCTTTTTTTCATTTCTTCAGGTTCTCATTACATGTTTATTCTTTGTTTATCGCGAATTTTTATTTGCAGCCAATGAGCACTTAAATAGCTCTCATTTTTGTAATTTTGTTTCTTTGATTTGTCATCGTGTCTGAATTGTTTATTTGAACCATATCAGTGTATGCATTGCGCTATATTTGACTGAAGTGTTAATCCTGTCTCAGAGCACCCAATTAGAACCGAAATTTGTTGTTCATACATTTGATTTCTATTAATAAATACATGGTTTCTTGTCAGCTTCACGTCAGATAGCACAAAATTATTGTATCGTGAATAACTTTTTTATTTGAAGAGCACCTAATTTACAACTTTGGCACCAAATTAGCCCCTGAAAAGGCCCTANGGGTACCGATTAATTACGTTAGTTATTGATGCGCCTCTCGTGTTAGTTAGTGTCCCAGATATTCAGTAGTTGTCTTGAAAAAATGACGTTTCGATAGTCTAAACGTTAGGTCAGCATTCCTGAATACTTCTAAACATTTTTCAACAATTCAATTCCATGACTGAAGTCCTTCGCGGGCAGAAGAATATCGTCGAGGTAAACTAAAGCAGTACCGTGTTGATGGCTCTTTGGAATACGGCTGGAGCATTTGGCATACGCACATACTCGTAGTGCCCATCTGTATGATAATAATTCCGTTATCCAATAATTCCTTGACAATTTTTCTTACGTTTTCTCGTTCGATAAAAGAAAGATAAAAGTCTATACGGTCGACAAGTCACAGGTTTGTCCGATGTTAAACATATTTCCGTTTTTACCAAGTCTGTTTTACCCAATTCGCTCGTGTTTTGTGCAAAACAATCCCGATGTTGATTTAATAAATTTAAAAGTATCTCTTGACCTTTAAGCGATAAAAACCCGTATATCATTCAGTTCAAAAGATTTTAAGTTAAATTTATTAATAATCAAGTTGCTCACCCCGTTAGTCAAGTCAATGTTCATAAAAGGTTGCCCTCGAGCCAGTAACGTAGCCTCGGAAAAAAAAATTCATTGGATGACGTGTTTCGTATGGAAATGACTCCACTTTGGGGCTTGGTGACACAACTTAGGATGATATATTCGGACCCTGGTTTAGTACAGCTCCTTTTTTCCACAAAAACATCGTCCTTCCAGTCAGCAGTCCCCATCACTTTCACATATCCAATGGTACTTGATGGTAGCACTACAGCATCCTTGGACCACAAGTTGACCTTCATTGGCGGCAATTGCTCGATCTCTGGAAGTGCAGCCATGTTGTTTTCAAAAAGACGGAGTATATTGTCTCTGATCACTAAAGTTACAACAGCATTGTTCACAAACGATTGTCCAATCTGTATAGGTACCATTTGTAACCAATTGTCAACAATCAACGCTTCCACTTTTGTTTCCATTAAATCTAATTTAAGATTTATCGTAGTTCCACCAATTGTTCTAGCAACACCTCCTCCAAATCCACGAATCAACGTTGTACTTGGGGTATAACTAAGATGTAATTCGTCAGCATCTGTTCGACGTATTGTAACAACACTACATCCCGTATCTACGTAGCCTCTCATGGTTTGACCATTTACCTCGCATTCAACAAAGTAACAGACTTTATAGTTTCGTTATTCATTAATTTAATTTCGGTGGTTTTCTTTTTCGCACGTTTACAGTTCATTTCTGTATGGCCCAAAAAGTTACACTTAGAATATTACACGGGGTTTCGGACAAGCCGTAGGTAAGTGTCCGTTCACATTACAGTTACTGTAGAACTTCGGTTTTTTGCTTCTGGTAAGGAGTAAAACGTCTTGGGGTTTCCCTTGAACCCAGTCGATTTTTGTCAAAATGTCGTTTCTTGGCAAATTTGTCGTCTTGTAATTTTGTTGAAGTAGATGTACTTTCGCTGTTTTCACTTATAGTATCGTCTGCTACCGTGAATAAAAATTCTTCGTATAAATGTTCTGGTGTTTTATACCGCCCTGCTTTGGCATTATTTTGTAATACTCTGTCACTAAGTCCATCTATAATATAAGATACAGCATCTGTTCCAATAATTTTTCAAGTTTGTAGCAAATCCATTTTTGCGAAGTAATATTGCGTAATATTTTCGTGTGATTCTTTAACCCTTCCAACCAATTTCTTTAATGTAGAAGCTAAATCGTGATGATCAGGAAAAGTGCATCGAACCAAAATTTTCCATTCGTTCCAGGTATAATTGTGTCTAAATTATTAAACCAAGTGCGTGGCTAAACCAATTAATTTATTTTGCATTTGATAAATCATCATTCGTTCATCCCATTTGTTAATCGCCCCTATTTTTTCTATTTTATCAAGCCACTTGGTAGCTGTTAAATTTAGGTTTCCAGGTTTAAATTCTAATATACAGCTCTATTTCGCAGTCTGATACAAAATAATATAAAAAATAAGAGGACCGTACAAATGGTACTTTACAGTAAGAAAATCCAACGTCTAATAATGACTCAATTCACATATCGTTCACAGGCTTCCCATTGTCCTTGACAATAAGTATACAAGAAGTTCTGCAACTAGCTACTTCGTTTACAAATTGTTTATAAACATTTCTCTAATCGTAAGAACAGGTCTCCAGTACATTTCCCGCTCTGGTTGCTATGGTTCTCAACATATACCGAGTGATCGCTAACATGGGTCATACCAGAAATCATCACACTATAAGCAGCAAATGGGATCATTCCGACCTACGGCTACATCAACCTGTCCCTCAGTTTAGAAATTTCGCATGACGACGTATAATTGCGGATGTTAACAAACTAATAATTGGTGCCGATTTCTTGGCCCACTATCAATTGCTGGTAAATTTAAGAAACGTCTTCTGGATCAGCTCACCCTGCTCACTACCCCCGGCAAGGTGACTGGTTGCAGTCAACCCTCAATAACAATGATCACGGATAACATATCCGGCACATCCAGGATACGACGACCTTCCGTCACTACTGCACCCCAACGGTCACTTCATACACCCTAAGCATACAACAAGGCATTACATAAACACTACCCCTAGTCCTGCCAAAGCTTACAGACCACGTTTAGCTCTGGACCGGTTTGCAGCAGCCCAAAGAGAGTTTGAGACACTGACACAACTGGGCATCGCTTGCCCTTCCTCCAGCCCCTGGGCAACACCACTACACATGGTCCCGAAGAAAGACAATGAATGACACCCTGCGGAGATTATTGCTCACTCAACGCAAGAACCATTCCCGATAGATACCTATTCTCATAAATAGACTGGAGCCTGGCAACTTAACGTCGCCCACGCTACATGTCTTTTCAACAGTATCTTACAACTAATCATTAAATATGAAGATTGGAAAAACTTTGGCGGTTGTTGTAGAACAAAATAACAGTTGATGAACGCCACAAAATGTATAATACAGTCGGCTGCAAATAGCACGGACGCGAATCAAGAGCAAACTGAACGATCTTTTCCAAAAACTGGATGACCAGGATTCTATGAGAAACCCCCCAAGAAGCACTTTCTTGTATTAGTCTCCCATAAATCTGTCATAGGTCTACTACCTCAGCCAATTCTAGGACCATCGGCGCCTTGAATCTGTACGCTCTGACGTTGTGCAGATGTTTTGCAGACAGATAAGGCATATACTAAGTGCGTCTTCTAAGAGGGTGACGAGAAATTAATATTTGGGCAATTTTAATGTATAACTACTTAATGGAGATTTCAAAAATCTAAATTTAAATGTTTTTGATAAATTTAGATTGTTGTAAACAAGTCCCAAAAGCTCAGTATAAAATGAATTCTGATGATGATAATTTCCAAAAAAAAAAATTGGAAGTTTTGGCAAATTAATATTTACTAGATCAAATTTCTTTTTTGCCTAACAAGAGATTAGTAATAATTTGCTAGATTTTGCTTAATAAATTTTTTTTTCTGTTTCTTTTACCCTGTATCGTATCGAATATTTTATATTCTCTTAAGTCTACATTCCAATTCTGCTCTATTTGAAACCTTTTGATCATTGCTTAAAAAATGTTTTAAACCGTCTTAACTGAGTATTTAATATACTTGTGGATTTAATTAGATCAGCCTTTTCCGTTTCTGCATGCATTGCTAATCGTATGGGAGTAGAAAGGGATAGGAGAATGGTAATGGGTACATACTATAATATTCAAGGAAATTGTTACGCACACTTGAGAATGTACATGCACTTTTACTATATACAAAGTTTATTTACAATATTTGCACAAAATGTACAAATTAAAAAAAACGACATAAATACAACAAAACAGGTGTGTTTATACCACTTTGGAGTAGTGAAAAGGGGTCGAAAATAGAGGGGTTGACGGTGGAGTAATGAAGTGGGGTAAATTTGGTAAAGATAAACGAATACATGACAGCGGGTACTTAGAGGCAAAAAATGGACAAGTTGGTTATCTGAATGGACTTGGCATACTTAAAAACGTAGGATTAGAAAAAGAACAAGTCGATTTGATAAATAGAAGTTCAAATAGAAAAAATAATGAAAGAAANCATACAACAAAATTTAATACACTTAAAAAATTAAATCGCATCTAGGTAGGTATATGTACTTGCACATTTGAAGCCATTCTCTCATTTGCGACCTAGAATTTAGACAGAAATTTCTATATTTATTTACAAAGTTAACTATGAGAAGTAAGCTGCGTAGTTATTTGACAGTTGAATTAAAGAAATTAATTTATATTACAATTATCAATTTTATTTTAGAAAATGAAATGTACAGTAGAAGAAGAACCAAGAACCTGCGCATTTGAACAAAAATCCACTTACTTAAATGATTTTCGTCAGTGTGTTCCAGATAAACGTGAAAGGTATACCTGGCCAAAAGAACGTTGTCCTTCTCCTCCTGTAATTCGTGTACATAAGGACTTTCGACCAACTCACGTTTATAAAGATTCTCAAACTTTATGTCACTGGAAAGAAAATGCAAAAGTACCTTTTTATTTATACTGGAAGCCTAAAGATAGTGTCAATTCTGATCCAACAAAAATTGTAGAAATTCCCTCAAAACAGGTAAAAATTAACGGAAGTGTACTTCATTTACTTTCTCTAGCGATGTGTCCTTTCCAATGTCTTGGATGCGCGCTGGCAAAATCGTAAGTAGGGACAAAAAAGCTCTTTATACTCTCGACTCTTGCTCGTTAAACATACTTTTTGATACAGTACCTGCCAAAAGTGTTGTTTAATCATGAATAGTAGTGCGAGTCGGAAACAATCGTTAAAGCCTTAAATATGTCTTCAAATATAAATAAACATCTAGTTGAAATTTTCAGTAGTAATTGGTACCAAAAACAGCACATTTCAGCAATGCAATTGTAGTGGATGAAATGATCAATTTTTCCGTGCAGTTCTGTACGGAGCCCTTTGAAGCTGGCACCACAAAGTCCCAAAAATGAATTTCGAAAATGCCAAAATTAGGGGATTTTTAGGGGCTAATTTGGTGCCAAAGTTATAAATTAGGTGCTCTTCAAATAAAAAAGTTATTAACGATACAATAATTTTGTGCTACCTGACGTGAAGCTGACACGAAACCATGTACGAGGGTGGATTGATAAGTTTCCGGCCTAACCAAGAGATGACGCCACTAGGCCTACCTTGAGGTGACATTCTATAGTACCATCCTTGGATAGCTTGTAGCTATAGTTTCAGCCCGATCTCCTTGCTAG